GCACTGGGGAGGGGCCCCCTGGGCATGGGAATAAGGGGATAAGGGGACTTAGCTATCCCCAGCACCAGGACAGAAATGATTTTATCTCAGTAACCAGGGCTAGGGTAAGCTTACACAAATAATCCAAGACAGTGGATAAATCAAAATCACCTACCACTTCCCCCAGAGGACTTAGTCCTGTAATTCTGTTTGGTTCCAGCTTTTAGAATGTACAGTGATCAAGCAGTGAGTCATTGTGGGGGTGGAAGGCATAAGAATTTGCCATCTACCTCAGTTAATCCTCCAGCTGAAATTGGAGAGGAGACTGCAGCAGTTTGGGGGTCGGGGGTGTGGGTATGAGGTACTAGCAGGCAGGAGGAGGGAGAGGGATCCAAAAATGAGGCCCCACTTGAGTTACAACCCTAAGGGGCCATTAGAAATTCCCTGGCCTTGACCTCTGGCTTCAGCAGGCCGGCTGTGCCCTGAGGCCCCAGCTCATGTTCTGAGGCTCCTCATTTATCCTCATTAAGCTGTCAACCTGGAGACCACGCCAGGCCACAGGGCAGAGGGACAGGGCCGCAAATGCCAAAACAGCTACCTTGGCAGGTCCTGTTTACCCTGAGATTTCTCTGTCCACCCCACAATCCCAACTAGACTTCACTTCCTGCCATTCCCAACCCCCACCTTAAGATAGGAGAAAGGCCATATGATTTTGGACATGGCACTTTCCCCATTCTCTGCCTCAGTTTCCCCATCTGCCTTCCACCCAGGATTGTTTTAAGATAAACCTGTGGTTGGATTAGCATAAATCGTGGTCTGAACATCAGAGATGACATTGCTGTTTGTGTCAACTGCTCATGTTCCCAGCCCCCCACGGTTGGGCTTCTGTGACCTCCAGCCTCCAGTTTTGGTTCTCCACTAGTCCTGGCACTTGGGAGGGAGCTGACCTGCAGCTGCTAGCACAGACGACCCTGGGCATCTGACACTCTATAAATAACCAAGGCCCAGTGCAGCTGGAGGCAGGACTAGAAACCAAAGGAGCTGATGGGGGCTGGAGGCAGGGCGGGGGGACAGGGACAGAACTGGGGAGGCAGAGCAGCAGCGCCAGGAGCAGATAGGAAAGACTGCCCAAGCTTATTGTGTGACCTTGAACACAGCACTCAACAGGGTGCCTCAGTTTCTCTTGCTTCCCATTTGTCTAATGGGGACAGTAGTGTCTGTCCTGTGGTTAAAGAGGAACGCCCATAACTGAGAAGAGTTTGAGGAACAAGAAATGGCACGTTATCAGTCCCATGATGAGGACCCCAGGACTTCCCAAACTTTTCAGAGTTGTCACCCCACCATCATGAAGAGTTTTTCTTTTATAGTTTCACTGCTCTCTAGGGTAGTCCTCCAATGTCCCCGAGAGTGATTCTTCCCAACCCCCAATGCTGTCCCCAGAATCCTTCCACACTGAGTCATCCGGCCCTGTGCCCATGATGGGCCCTTGTCACTCCAGGTGGCCAAGCTCCAGGTGCCTTCGGCACCTGGAGGATAAGCTGCCATCTACTCTCTATATATGGTGCTATTTCTCCTACCCTATAGTCCTCTCAAGGATCTGCTTCCTATGCTCTCTGTCACAGTTGCTGCCCCCAGCTCCTTCCTCTACTTCCTTCCTCTACACAGGTCCTCTCTCCTTTCCACTCTGAAATCTCAGAGTCTCTGTGTCCTTGTTTTTGATGAAGAAAGAGGATAACCTGGCCGGGTGCAGTGGCTCATGCCTGCAATCCCAGCACTTTGGGAGGCCAAGGCAGGCAGATCACAAGGTCGGGAGTTTGAGACCAGCCTGGCCAATGTGGTGAAACCCCATCTCTACTAAAAATACAAAAATTAGCTGGGTGTGGTGGTGGGCATCTGTAGTCCCAGCTACTTAGGAGTCTGAAGCAGAAGAATCACTTGAACCTGGGAGGCAGAGGTTGCAGTGATCTTAGATTGTGTCACTGCACTCCAGCCTGAATGACAAAGCAAAACCATCTCAAAAAATAAAAATATAAAAAAGAAAGAGGATAACCTAATATGTATGGAGTGCGGACCCTGTGCAGGCAGTGTGCTCAGTGCTTTCTGCATGTTATTTTACAATTTCCCAAACTTTGCTTATCATCAGAATCAGTCAGGGGCTTTAAAAAACAGAGAAGATTCCCAAGTCACCACCCTACACATCTCAATTCAGTGGATCTAGCATGGAGTAAGAGAACCTGTTTCGTTTTATGAGCCTCACCGAGGGTTCTGTTGGTTAACTGAGTATTAAAAGCACTGCGTTATCTCAGAAGAGCCTTAAGAAGGAGGAAGTGTTATTGTTAACTCCAACTTGTGAAAGAGGAAACTGAGGCTTAGAGAGGCTAAATAAGTTGCCCAAGTTTACACGAGTGTTGAGTGGCTGAGCCATGGCTCAAAGACAAGCCTGACTCAGAGCTGATGCTCTTAACACCACACCGCACTGCTTCTCTCATTTTCCTTTATTGGCGCTCATCTTGCTGTGCCCTTTATGTTGGTATTTGACCAGTTTTTATGGATCTTTTCCAAAACCCCCATGGTTTTGCCTCCTATTGCAAGCTCAGGGACTGAGTAGACATCCCTCACACTGCGCCTGCATTGCCCCCAGCTCTCTGCTGGCCTTGGCAGGGAGACCCTTGCTACAACCATGGTTGTCTTTCATAGGCCTGCCTCTTGGGCTTCTTGCTGGGAGTCTGCCTTGCAGCTGATGACAGGTGATATCACTGAGCTTGGTCTTTTTCTTTTTTTTTTTTTTGAGATGGGATCTCGCTATATTGCCCAGCCTGTCCTCCTAGGGTCAAGGTGAACTCCCACCTTAGCCTCCTGAGTAGCTGGGATTGCAGGTGTGCACCACGGTGCCCGGCATCACTGAGCTTGATTCTGTGATGGGCTGGTCTTAGCAGCAGTGAAGTCTGGTTGGCCTGGTTCTTCCCCATCCCCGTACCTGGACCAGGCTTTGCTGTGAAGGAATCAGAGCTGCATCAGACCTGGCCCCAGCACTTGGAGTGCTCTCACGGGGAACAGGAGGACTTGTGTGCAGGTGACCTTTGGGAGACTAACCGTGCACGGTGCAGGAGAGGCCCTGCTGCTGGGGAGCAGAGCTTGTCAAGCTAGAAATACATGTATTTTTTTGTTTGTTTGTTTGTTTTTTTAAACGGAGTTTTGTTCTTTTTGCCCAGGCTGGAGTGCAATGGCATGATCTCATGTCACTGCAACCTCCGCCTCCTAGGTTCAAGTGATTCTTGTGCCTCAGCCTCCCAAGTAGCTGGGATTACAGGTGCACGCCACCATTCCCGGCTAATTTTGTATTTTTAGTAGAGACAGGTCAAACTCCTGACCTCAGGTGATCCACTTGCCTCGGCCTCCCAAAGTGCTGGGATTACAGGCATGAGCCACTGTGCCCAGCCTGAATGCACATTTTTTACTGGAGCACAGTCTGGGCAGAAGATGATTGGTTGAGGAAAAATTACAGAGAATGTATAGAAACCAGGAAGTCTCAGTTCTTTCTGAGAAAAATCTTGACATCCTCTAGAGCCTCTCTGATCCTCATCCAAGGCAGACAAGCCCTTTTTGACCCCTGATCTCTGACCCACAGGCTGAGGCAGATGTGGCCTCCCTGAACCGCCGCATTCAGCTGGTAGAAGAGGAGCTGGACCGCGCCCAGGAGCGCCTGGCTACAGCCCTGCAGAAGCTGGAGGAGGCTGAGAAGGCAGCTGATGAGAGCGAGAGGTGATCAGGGGCCCCTGGGGGAGGACAGTCTGGGAGGGAGGAGGGACCCTGTCTCTGCTGGTCCTGACCCCACACTCACCCTCTCGTGCCTCCCAGAGGAATGAAGGTCATCGAAAACCGGGCCATGAAGGACGAGGAGAAGATGGAGCTGCAGGAGATGCAGCTGAAAGAGGCCAAGCACATCGCTGAGGATTCAGACCGCAAATACGAGGAGGTGACAGCCTCGCCCCTCTGCCTGCTCATTGCCCAGCCCACAGCATACCCAGTCCTTCTCTGCTGATTTACCCTCTCTTTTTCACTCCCCACAGGTGGCCAGGAAGCTGGTGATCCTGGAAGGAGAGCTGGAGCGCTCAGAAGAGAGAGCTGAGGTGGCCGAGAGGTAAAGATTCCCCGGGGGGTGGCATGTGAGCCCCTTGGCACTGGGGCCGTCCATATAGTGGGGAGGCAGTGTCCTAGGCTTGGGGCCATAGGGACAGCCCCTGTTCTCTGACCCCTGCCCGCCGCCCCCAGCCGAGCCAGACAGCTGGAGGAGGAACTTCGAACCATGGACCAGGCCCTCAAGTCCCTGATGGCCTCAGAGGAGGAGGTAGCAACCCCTCTGAACCTTTCTGGGCAATGGCACCTTCTCTCAGCTCACCTTCCCTCCATCTCAGCACCACAGGCTGCTCTCTCCCAGCTGCTGGGGATTGGGAAGGGCCTGGGGCTTCTGAGCCCTGCCTGCTGTCACTCTCACAACTTTGCTCTTCTCTTCTCTCCTCTACCCGTCCCCCACTGTGCCATCTCCACTGTCTGGCTTCACTGTGCCCTCACACCCCGCTCCCCCTGCCACACACCCCCTGCAGTAAATGTGGGGACCTAGAGGAGGAGCTGAAAATTGTTACCAACAACTTGAAATCCCTGGAGGCCCAGGCGGACAAGGTAGAGGGGAGCAGAGGGGCAGTGAGGATGGGGTCCCACAGGGGAGGGAGGTGAGGGGCCCAAGGCAGGGAGGGGCTGGTGTTCAATGGAGGCAAGATGGCCAGGAGCCTATGGGGTGCAATGGAGAAATGAAGGATTTGTGGTGGTGCTGTACTGATGGTGTGTGTATGTCCCCAAAAGTATTCCACCAAAGAAGATAAATATGAAGAGGAGATCAAACTGCTGGAGGAGAAGCTGAAAGAGGTGAGAGTCCTCTTCCAGTTCCCAGTGTCTCCTCAAGCCCCCCTTATCCTTGTCAGAGACTGCCTGTGGTACGACACTTGAGGAAAGGGATGGGCAAGAAGCTTGACTTGGGCAGTGGTCTGTGGGAGGGCCTAATTCTTTCCCATTTCTCCCATCCTGCCTTTACCCCCCAGGCTGAGACCCGAGCAGAGTTTGCCGAAAGGTCTGTGGCAAAGTTGGAGAAAACCATCGATGACTTGGAAGGTAAAAGGAATACTCTCTCATATCCATGAGCCTTTATAAGTAGGTCCACACCTGCCATGATTATCAGTCTGTTTCTTACCTTCTCATCCCATTTTATTTGCCACCAATAAACTAGGGTTGAACCACCCAGCCTAGGACTCTACCAACTCCCCAATTCTGTGGGCCATGTCTACAATTCAAGTAATTGTAGCTGTCCACAGGGCAACAACTCCAGTGCTTCTCAAATTTCAGCATGCATGAGAATCACTGGGAGAGTTTTAAAAACAGATTCCTAGGCTCTGCCCCAAAGTGATTGCTGACTTTCGGCTGGAGGATTTGCATTTCTAGCCAGCTCTCTGGTGCTGCCAATGCTGCTGGTCCCCAGGCCACACTCTGAGTAGCTCCCATATAGACGATTCTGTCCCTGAGTGTAACACAGTAGAGTTCTAGCACAGAGACTGCCTTATTAACTAGAGAGCTTTTGATTGAACATTTAGGTCTGCATGTCAACACTAATAGAAAATACAATTTTAAGCTAGATTGGACAAAAACAAACATCAGATATTTGTGAGTCTGTGACTATTTCTATTGTTGATGGTGTTATGGCTAAAGTTGCCTTTCCCTTTTATTCTGTGATAACCCTTACACTTTCCCACTTCTCTCGCTTCCGGCCTTCTCAGGCAAGCTCCAATTTTACCTCCAGCTTTAGGAGGTTTGCCCTTTCTGGCTCCAGCACGCTCCCTCTCCCTGCTAAGCAAGCTCTCCTGCTTGTCCGGAGCACTGTGCCCACAGCTCCCTAGGGAGGCAGGAGCTCCTGCGGGTAAAGCCAATGTAGGGTACAGAGAAGGAAAGAAAAGAGATGGGGTAGAAAGGGGGAGAAGGAGTTCCTGACAGCCGTCCAGCCTGTTCCCTGGCCTGCCGCTCTCACTCTGTCTTTGTGCACCTCTGATTCTGTTTTTCTTTCCATTGCCTTCTCTCCTTCCTTTCCTCTTTCCCTCCACTCCCTCTCCCACACTCCCACCTTGTCCCCTCCCTGGACCCCCCCAGACGAAGTCTATGCCCAGAAGATGAAGTACAAGGCCATTAGCGAGGAGCTGGACAACGCACTCAATGACATCACCTCCCTCTGAGCCCCATGCCAGTGTGACCACCTCAGCCCTCTTCTCTCCTCTCCTTTCCATTCTCTCTATGGGGAAGGGAGCAGGCAGGAGGAGCAGAAATTGCCAACATTGCACAGCCAGGCTGGGAGCAGCCTAGGGAGAACCTCCATCATGTCCACCACCCACTCTGGCACTGGCTTAATCCTTTACCTATCCGCCTCCACCCCCCTTCGCTGCTCAATAAACTCTGAACTTGGTCTCCATGCTGTTTTCCTGCCCTCCAGAGAGCACCTCTATCACCACCACAGAGCACTGGTTCACTCCTGAGACCCTGGCTCTTACAGACACCCCACCCACTGCGCTGAGCCCACCCACCAAACAATATGGCCCACTCTGAAACCCCTCTGCACGGGCACTCCCAGGCTGTCACTCTCTGACTCACTGCTGCATGTGGGCACATGTGACCCTGTCAAACACCATGACCCCCTCTGGTGCCAATCACTGACCTCAGAGTACTTAGCTGGGGTTCCAGGATCAAATAGAGTGACTGGAAAGGAAATGGGATGGTGAGGTGCAGGGCAGGGGCAAGAAGGTGGCAAAAGGGCTGGAATGGAGCTTGGAAACATGTTGGATGTCAGCAACATGGGGCTTTCACTGCATCAGCAGGTCTGTTTTCTACCTCAAGTCTGTCTGCCCTCCATTTCCTGGCTCAGTCTTTGTCTTACCTTCTGTCTCCAACTTTCTTAAATCTTCTAAAGAAGAGGATAAAGCAGTTGATGACTCAGGCCTCCCCACCCCCACCTCCATGACCACAAGGCCTTGAGGCATCCACGTCCATCCTGTTCCCCTCATCATGGTCAATCCATCCATTTGCCCCTGCCATGGGGCCTTGGGGTCCCTAAATGTATGTGTCTTTCTGTGTCTCCTGACCCACTCCATGTCTATATGTCACCTTCCCTGCCCCTGCCTCCCCACATCTCCCCCTCGTGTCTCCCTCCCACCTCACCTGCTGCTTCCCCTCACAGAGACCTTGGCCAGTGCCAAGGAGGAGAACGTCGAGATTCACCAGACCTTGGACCAGACCCTGCTGGAACTCAACAACCTGTGAGGGCTGGCACTGCCCCCAGCCAGGCTATGGTTGCTGCCCCAACCCAATAAAACTGATGTTACCAGCTTCTCAAGGCCCTTTAAGCCTTTCTTTGGTATTGGCAATGGAGTTTGAAGGACCCCTGAATGAGCAGGGCCTGGGTCCTTGCTCTGCAGTGGGACCTCCTTTTCAGGGAAAACTGTGGGATGCGGGGCCCTAGGCTTATTGAGAAGGGGCTGTGAACAGGCCATATGAAGCAGGAAGTCTGATAGGTCTGGGGGACATCGTGGCCCTTGTTCCCTACAGGCAGAGGAGTTGCTATCCACAGCACCGCCCTGTTCCAGCAGGCAGCTGGGCCAGACGGCACATCCTGAAGCAAAAACTGCAAGAAGTGACACATTTTCCTTGAGCAGGGTGAAAACCCAAAAGCCTGAGTGTGATGTTAAGCCTAGGGCTGCTCTCTGCCCTACCCTTCAACACATATACTGCACACACACGGCCATCCCAGCAGGATCAGTCATTTCTGTCCTCTTCCTGATAACATCTGTGGTAGGCAGAATAATTCCCCTTCTCCAAAGATGTCCATGTTCTAATCCTGTGCAATATTGTTATCTTACATGGGAAGAAACTTTGTGATTAAGCTAAGATTTTTAGATGGGGTGATTATCCTTGGTTATCTAGATAGGCCAAATGTAATCCCCAGCGTTCTTGGGGGTCAAGGAGGTCAAAGGCAGTAGTAGGAGTTGTGACAATGGAAGGAAGAGATTGGAGTGATGTGTGGAAGGGGCCAAGAACCAAGGAATGCAGGTGATTCCTAGAATCTGAAAAGGGCAAGGAAACATTCTATTTTCAGGGCATCCAGCAGGAACAAGCCCTACTGAGGTCTGACTGCTGACCTCCAAACTATAAGAGAATAAATGCATTACCACCAAGTTCCTGCTAATAACAGTAATAGTAGAAAATTCAAATACCATTCTTCTGGTTTGGGGAACAAAGGTAACTAACACATATTTTACTATAAATATTTATTTTTAAAAATTACTTGGTGATTAAAAAGGAGGTGGCCTAATGAGCAGACGGAACAGTTGCTGGCGCCCCACGCCTCTGGCTGCCTTCTCTGCATTCTCCAAGATCAGCCTCTAGGCTCCGGTCTCCTCCACTACTTCTGCTGGGCGATAGCTAACACCCCCTTTGGCCCCCCTTCTGTGTGTACACAACAACAGGGAAGGCTAATCAGAAAACTGGCCCAGGAGGAGCTCATTTGCATGGGGTTGGGGAAGGTTGTGCCTGAGGAAACGGTGGGTGTAATACCTGTGCTGCCTTCTCATCTGCACAAGGAAGGCGACACTGGTGATAGCAAAAAGGAGGCCAAAAACCAGGGCTAGGATGTCACCTAGGATGGGGAGAGGAGAGGGCTGCTTCAGGAAGGAAGAGGGAGCTGCAGAGTTCCTCAATGCCTGCCTCAGTTCATCCCCCGCCCCTGCCCCAAGTTCTCAGGCAGTCCCCAATGCCTCAGTCTCCAGAAGAGGCCAGCCAAGGGATGGGGGTAGATACATGAGAAGGGAAAAGTTAAGCACCATTTTTCCTTCCTAAAAGCCGAGTCAAAGGGTTGTTTGGGGCTGGTCACGGTGGTGCATGCCTACAGTCTCAGTGCTTTGAGAGGCCAAGGTGAAAGGACTGCCTGAGCCTAGGAGTTCAAGGCTGCAGTGAGCTATGATCATGCCACAACACCAGCCTAGGCAGCAGAGTGAGACCCTATCTCTAAAAAAAGGCCGAGGGGTTGTTTGGGAGAGGGATGCTGGGAGATTTCTCAAGCTTCATTCTAATCAGCTTGGCCCTGAGGACAATGGGGGAATCCCCACCAGGATCTGCCTCTCTAACATTGGGGTTGGGGTCGGTTCTGCAGAAAAGGAGAGGGAGCAGAGGCAGTACTGAGCAGCCCTGGGGCTGAATGGTGCTGAGGAGTCTCCTGGCATCAGGAGCAAGAGGAGGGGCACAGACTCACCAGCAGCAAGGCAGGAGTTCAGTTGGACTGGAAAGAGAAAGGAGACATGAGAGGCGGACAGTGACCACCAATGACAGTCACTGGCACATACATGGGAGGATGAGGGACCCCTGGCTGGAGGATACCAGACAAAGCTGCACCTGGCTTAGCAGCCTGAGGACTGCTGTCCACTCCAGCAGGGAAGGAGGCCTCAATCACTCGCCCATTCAAAGGCTGCGTCGCTCGGAAGTTCATCTGTAGCCGAGAGTCGCCAGGTCCCCACAGGGTGTCAGAGAGGATGTGGAGCTAGGGAGGTCAGTAGACAGTGTGGGTGAGTTCATGGAGTGACAGGAAACAAGGTTCCCAGACCAGCTCACAGCCAGCACCTCAGGGCTCCACCCTCGATCTCCTATATGCCCCACCGACCCCTTGATTTCTTTTATGAATAAATTAATGTATCCTAAAGAAGGTTGCAGTGGTGGGATCATAGCTCATCACAGCCTCAAACTCCTGGACTCAAGTGATATTCCCACCTCAGCCTCCTGAGTATCTGGGACTATAGGCGCACACCACCATACCCAGCTATTTTTTTTTCCTTTGGTAGAGATGGGGTCACACTATGTTGCCCAGGCTTGTCTTGAACTCCTGGGCTCAAGCGATTCTCCCACCTCAGCCTCCCAGCATGCTGTGATTATAGGTATGAGCCACAGAACCCATTGATTTCTTCTCGTCTTTCTCATCTCTTTTACATCCTTTCCCCCCACATCCACTGTGTCCATATGCACCCCAGGCCTACCTGCTTAGCACTCAGCCTCACTGTATGGTTAAACACAGTCCAGATGACACCCTGGGCACAGGGTGGTGTAGTCAGAGACCCCTCATATCGGAAGTAGCGGCTGAGGTCAGAGGGCAGGAGTGCAGATATGTCCAGTCCTGGGACCTGAGTCTCTGAGCCTGTGAAGAGGATCTATGCTGGTGTCTCACCTACATTGCCTCCTCTTAAAGCTTCAGGGTATAGGGATACAGTTTCACGTCCCAGAAGCCAAAGAAACTCAACTCTCTGAGACCACTTCTTCACTAAGTGCAGGCCCTTCCCATAAGATGTAACAAAAAAAGTACAGGGCTTTGGGGCAACTGGAAGAGGTCTCAGGGAGGGAGAGAGGGGGGAAGAAAGGAAGGAGGGAAGGGAAGAAGGAAGAGAAGGAAAGAAGAAAGACCATCAGAATTTACACCCTTTTTTTTTTTTTTGGTGGGGGGACGGAGTTTCACTCTTGTTACCCAGGCTGGAGTGCAATGGCATGATCTCGGCCCACCACAACCTCCGCCTTCTGGGTTCAGGCAATTCTCTTGCCTCAGCCTCCTGAGTAGCTGGGATTACAGGCACGTGCCACCATGCCCAGCTAATTTTTTGTATTTTTAGTAGAGACGGGGTTTCACCATGTTGACCAGGATGGTCTTGATCTCTTGACCTCGTGATCCACCCGCCTCGGCCTCCCAAAGTGCTGGGATTACAGGCTTGAGCCACCGCGCCCGGCCACAAGAGTTTACACTCTTAACTCTGTGTACCATCATAAAGTCCTGGGCAATAGGTTTAAGTCCAGAGTGAATTAAAAAGAAAAAGTGATCTGAATGACTTACAAATAAATATGAATATTGATAGCAATATAAAACAGACACAAGAAATGCAAAGGCAGAGTTCTACCTAGTCTAGCTAAAACCTAAAAGGTCTAGTAGAGTAAGTGAGGTTTAAAATGACCCAAGAGTGACTGAGAAGGGAAAGATTTCTAAAAGTATTTACAAAGTTAAAATAGTTGATGCTTATTAAAGATAAATAGTTATCAGAAAAAGTTTTGCTCTCAAGACTTCACTTTGACAATCCAAATACCATTTTTTGGTCTTATTTGGTTTTTTGTCTAATTTTGGTTTTTGCTAGGTTTTCAATCTGTAGGAAGCCGTTTGCAGGTAACTGTGTCAGCTTCATGGTTATCATCAAGATGAGAGCCAGCTCACACTTCAACCCCTCCTGCACTGGAGGGAGCCCATCTCCAGCCTCAGACCTGAAGCTCCCAAGGGTGATTCTTTATGCACTAGGGCACACAGAGTAGTGGCCAGACCAACAAACTGACCTTCCTCAGCGATTTCTTTCAAGCGAGACAGCAACTGCTCATAGGCACTGTTTTCTTCCGGGCCCTCCTGGGGGATAACATTGTAAGACAGATGAATGCATGTATCCAGGGCCATGGCTAGAGGCCGGAAGGTGAGGGGGGGTTCCCATAGTCCTCTCCCATTCCTCAGCTCTGAGAATGCTGAGGGAACGTGAAATTGTAATGGTTTTCTTATGCATTCTTACTCAAACTCTATGTACTCAAACCAAGAGCTTGCACAGCAAGAGTACATAGAGTTTGGTGGACTGGTTTTCTTTCTTTTTTTTTTTTTTTGAGATGGAGTCTCCTCTGTCGGCCCAGGCTGGAGTATAGTGACACGATCTCAGCTCACTGCAACCTCCACCTCCCAAGTTCAAGCGACTCTCCTGCCTCAGCCTCCCGAGTGGCTGGGATTACAGGTGCCCACCACCATGTCCAGCTAATTTTTATATATTTTTTTAATAGAGATGGAGTTCCACTGTGTTGGCCAGGCTGGTCTTGAACTCCTGACTTCTTGATCTGCACCTCAGCCTCCCAAAGTGCTGGGATTACAAGCACTACAAGCACGAGCCACCACGCCAGGTCGGTGGACTAGTTTTCAGTGACAAGCTGGAGAGGGAGGGAGAGAGGCCATTTTACTAGGATACTAGGTTCTCAGTGACCTCAGCCCTTCTAACGTTTGAAGTGTCACTGCTGCCTCCACACATGCTCCCCACAGGAAACCATATATACACCTTTGTGTTCATATCACCTCTATATTCACCTCCATGATTCTGTGTTTGGCTTTTCAGGTAAGGTCCTGATATGCTACTTCTTTTATTATTCTTTTTTCTTCTTTTGCTTATGAACCTAATGTTATGAACATTATGAAACTAACAGTATGAACATACTAACATGCTATTTCAGAGGCATTTCTCTGAACTTTGTGCTGTGTGGCTGGCGTTAAAGAATCAATGAGTGTGGCCCAGCA